GACAGGATCCAATTATCCTACCAGCATGTCTTTGGAGTGGGGGAGGAAACCAGAGTACAAGGAGGACAACCACACAGGCACAGAGAGAACATGCAAACTCCAGGCAGGTGGTGCCATGGTTGGGATTTAAACCAGCAACCCCAGTACTGCCAGGTTTCTTCCACTTCTTCCACTTTAGCCACTTTCTGAAATGATCAACAAGTATCTTCTGTACATGAAATGTTAGCCTTAAAGCCCAACTCCGGGCAAAATCTATTTGTACCCCCATCAATCCCTCCTCTAATGATTATTTGTTTTTTACATTTTAATTTAATTTAAAAAGGAGAAGTTCAGGCAAAGCTGTTTTGTCTGTACTTTTTCTGCGACCCACAGGAATGCAGTTTGTTCTGCACTCCTGTGACCCATTTTCAGCTGACAGTAGACTGAAGTTCGCTGTCGGCTGACGTCACTCAGCTGGTCCAGGCTGGGGAAAGATCCTGACCTCACAGTCGGGATCCACCCCAGAGTCTGGAGCAGCACCTGGCTCAGCCTCTCAGTATAGCGCTGAGAGCTTGATCCAGCCGCTGCCTCCCTGCCCCTGCACAGCCCAGCACTCCAGTAAGCGCTGGAGGGGCTGAGCAGAAAGCGGTGACTGAAAGTCACCACTCTCTGCTTAGAGTGTAGAGGAGAACTCAGCGATAATGTGATCACTGAGTTCTCACCCTTAGAGCCAGCGGGGGACAGATGCAGGATTGAACCAAGGCTGCAGCCACCTAGGTATATATAAACAGGGAAAAAAAGCACGACTTCTCTTTTACATTTTTCTATACTTTTTAATTTATTTTTTTCATTCAACACTATTGCTATCATGAGGAGTGAACAACGCCCCTTGTGATAGCTTGGGCAGTGACAGGTACTTTTAAAAGGAGAGATCAGGGGTCTATTATACCCCTGATCCCACCTCTGTCCAAGGCAGCCGATCAAACTGACAGCACTGAAACAGGGTGTGATGAAATCCTCATCACTTCCATCTTCATTTAGCACACAGGAGAGAGAGGGACGGATGCTTCTCCATCTCCTGCGGACAGCTGACCCGACCACTTGCAGCAGTCCCAGGCTTCCTCGTGGAAGAGCATGAGAACAGTGGGACCTTGCAAGCCCTGTAAAAGTGATAGGGTGGCTGTAAGGCCACTGGGATCACTTTTACATGAAAACCTATTGCTCTAAAGCTTCCTGTACAGGAGCCTACCATAACCGGCCGCAGTAAACCGCAAATTGCTGCAACTGCGGTAATGCATTTTTGTGGTCAAAACCTTCCTATCCTGAATGGGATTCTTCCGAATTCATGAGGGGGAGGTTTAACCTCACCTTAATGCAGCAGCTCCTAAACTCTGCTAAAAGCCTATGTGTACATGGACACATAGGCTTTTATGGAGTTGAGTTTAGGAGCTTTGGCAAAAAAATGCCAAAAGCTCCTAAACTCGAGTCTAGGAACTGCTCGTGTACATGAAGCCTAAAAAAAAAAAAATAAAAAATAAAAAAAATGGAATATACGAGGATCCTGGTAAAACCGCTTCCCATCCGGGATGTTTATATACAAATGGTGGACAGGTAAGTGTAAGAGGCTATTTAGGAAGTTTTTTTCCAACCTTGACCCTGGAGTTGGACTTTAAAAAAGAGAAAACTAATGCAGTCACCACATCTTACTGGTAAACTTGTCAAACACTTTGACAAATATAACCAGTAAAATACGCTCAACAATGACAAGATACACACACAGGGCTCCATTACACATAATGGAGTAAAGCACAGCGTTGTCTTTTGGTGTTTGAATGTCAATAATCTCCAGCAGCAATCTTATGTGACTTGCTGGATGCAGAGTATTACACCCACCACACCTATGTAACTTTTAATGGAACCTATTATCATGCAAGCCAACACCCCTGGTAGATGAAGCAGCTATAAAAAAAAACCAAAGCAAGTAGATGTAAACTATAACATTTATCTATTATAACGTATCAGAAGTAATTGCCATTTTGCTTAATTATAATACTTCTTTCAACTTGTTTCATCCTTTGTTGCATCTCTGTGCTACTGATCTCTTGCAGCCTCTCTGCAGCTATTTGCTGCCTCTCTGCACTCTATATGCACAATGGCAGCAAAGCATTTCCTGATGGTAACAATGGACCATGTTTGAATTGTGGGGGTTGAAATGGCCACAGATGGAGCAATTTTCTGTCCAGCAACCAAGGAATACCTCCTGCAGAGCCATTGTGTTCTCCTGCCAAGGGGGGGAGAAGATGTCGTTCCAGGTGGGAGAACAGTGATTGCTGTCAGTGGCTACAATATCCACTAGCAATAATCGCATGAAAAATCAACAGGCTGGTTGTACCCATGTTGATCGAACAATCAACGTCAGTACATTCAGCCTGCCCATACATGGTTCGAATCTTGGCCGTTCCCTGCTCAACAAGCAAAATTCAAACAGTCTATGGCCAGCTTTAAGATTTAAAAAATTCAAGCTGTTGGTGGCCCTATCAGCACCACCTGGCTCAACAAATGCTGGCCATACATGAGTCAAAATTCGACCGATTTTTCGTCTGAAAATCGGACCTAAGAATAATCGGCTGATTTTCGCTCTGTTAGTGGGTCAATAGCACCGGATGATTTTTGTGGTTCCTCCCCTTTTTGGTGATCGGGCATGTTGGAAAATGCGTGAAAAACTACCGATTTTCGACTCAAAGATGGTCAAATCGTACGATCGGTTTTCCAAAAAGAAATATGCGCATGAGCCGTGACCTGGAAGGAGCAGAAGTTTTGCTGTTATATGGGGTGAACTTTATGACTTGGTCGGCCGATTTTTGAAATCATTGATCGCACCATCGGATTACCGAGCGAACGACGTTTTCGATTTTCGGACGAAAAAATCATTCAGCGTTCGACCCATGTATGGCCTGCAAAACTTTGATTGAGATATTGCAGAAGCCAGGTGAAACATTATCAGCTGAACAGTGACTGCATCCAGTCACTGTATTCAGACAGCCAGCTCCCGCTGCTGTCTGAATAAAATAGCTGGCAGGGGTGATTCCTCCATCCACACGGTTTAGGCCCGCATGGCTAGCTTTAAGCCGGCCATAGATGGTTCAAAACTCAGCTGGTTCAACAGGGACAGGCCGAGATTGGATCCATGTATGGGCAGGCTTGATTGATGGATGCTTGGGTACAACCAGCATGTCAGATTTGTAAAAACGCAATTATTGCTCGCTGGAAGAACACAATAACTCCACCTGAGGGATTCCCCAATCAACGCTGCCTGTGTTGATGGGGGAATCCAGCAATTTTCTTTCCTGCAACCAAAAGAAATTTGCATCATCTACGGCCTGCCTTAGCTTCTAACCAGTGTGAAGGACAATGGCCAGACATGGTTTTTGAGTTTTTTTTTTTGAGTCATGAGTTTTGTTACCCTATACTAGGAAACATATGAATGAGGATCTTCTAAGGCAGGATCACCAGCTATTATTTCACCTATAGCTGCAGATGTCTAAATATTGAAAATTGCTTTTGAAATTTCATTAACATGTTCAAAATTACAGAGAATTTGGGTTAACGTCTACTTTAGCATTAACAATAACGTATAAAGCCATTTATAACTCTGCCCCCAATTACATCAACAATCTTGTCTCTAAATATCACCCAAACCGTACTCTCCACAAGACCTCCTACTCTCTAGCTCCCTTGTCTCCTCCTCCCATGCTCGTCTCCAGGACTTCCCCAGAGCTTCCCCCATCCTCTGGAACTCTCTACCCCAATTTTTCAGACTATCGCCTACTCTGCTAACTTTTAGGCGATCTCTGAAAACCTATCTCTTCAGGGAAGCCTATCCTGCCCTCAGCTAATAATGGAATCTTCTACTCTTCCAACCAGTCCATCCCCCACAGTTACTACCTTTTGTACCACTAGCCCCTCCCTCCTAGATTGTAAGCTCCAAGGAGCAGGGCCCTCCTATCCTTGTATTGAACTGTATTGTTGCTGTATTGTCTCCCGTTATATTGTAAAGCGCTGAGCAAACTGTTGGCGCTATATAAATCCTGTATAATAACAGGGTGGATAAAAGTCAATGATAAAAAATAAATAATAAAAAAAAAAATTGGATTTTTTTTATTTAAATCTGATTTTTTTTTTAGGAAAATATATTACCATCCAAAGGTTATTCCATCATGAAATAAAGATTAGTTTTTTTATTTATGTAGAATAAGGCTGTATATGTTTAATTTTTTTGGTAAATACATTCCATGAATCCATTCACAATGTCATGCTCTTCCAGAGGTTTTTGTAAGATTATTGGGCAGTTTCTCTGCCTACAAGATATTATCACAGATGTTTGGTTTACTTTTGCAGTTCTCAAAACTGAATTTGACTCAGCGGAGATCACATGCCTCTTCTTCACAGCAAAAATGTTATAACATGAACAGAGTTAAGAAAAAGACCTTAATGCTAACTTCTACAAACCTATGAATACAGAATCAACCCCTTCACTGCTAAATTTCAAGAAGTTCAGTGAATAGAATAGAAACAATATTTTTCTGATTGTTTGGAGTGGAATAGATCTGCACAAGAAGAAAGTGAAACGAAGTGTGAGGAGGAAGGGGCTGACAGTCTAAGTTTCTTAAAATATATATATTTTGTTTAGCCAAATTAGTTACCAAACATGGATGTTTGTTTAAGCAAATCACATATGCTGGAATGTTATTGTTTCAGTTGAATAAATCTATTTAAATTATTATTAAGGTAATGATTATTTTTCTCCTTCCTAAGTACAACAGAAAAGTTGTCCAAATATGAATGATTAACCTATTAAACTGGGGATAAAAAAACTAATATGAAAAGTTGTTATTCTAAAAATCTTCATCTACTTGCATATTAAAGTTATACCAGCAAGAATTAGTCTTTATGTAGAAAACTAGGATTTAAATCAAGCCTTACTGACTAGTGATTTAAATCGTAATTTAAATCAGTTTGATTTAAATCAAATCCACCCTGTATAATAATAATACTTTAACTTCAAAAACCACAACGCAGTACTTACTTAAGATGATGAACACGGTCTTCATTAAGTTGATCATGGTCTCCCGATATTTGGGATGGAATGACGTGTGCTTAGACATCCTCACCATCTTCTTCTTGACATATATAAAGATATGCAAGTATACCACCATCATAATCAGAAAGGCCACCAAGTTGGATACCGCCCAAAAGATGAGATAACTCCGACTGTACAAAGGGGCCATCCGCGAGCAACTCTCAAGATTACAAATGCAGTGCCAGCCAAAAGATGGTATAAGGCCCAGTAACAAGGCCGCAAGCCATATACAGGCTATGAGGATGCAAACCCGTTGGTTGGACATCTTACTATGAAGCTGCATAGTAAATACTGTCTGGTGTCGCTCCACAGCTATGGCCAACAGATTGGCCACAGAGGCTGTCAAGCTAGTGTCCAGTAAGCTCTGCCGCAGTAGCCACGTTTTCACATTTAGGGTGACTGTCCGTGGTCCAGTATGGAACATGAGATAAGTGTAGGCCACTCCAGCAAATAAATCGGCCGCTGCCAGGTTCCCTAGGAGGTAGTAGATAGGGTAGTGGAAGCGTTTGTTGATTATAATGGCTGTTATAACTAAGATGTTGGTAAACAGCACAAAGACACACACGGTTAGTCCCAAGCCGACCACCAGAGCATCTTTCGGTCTCCATGTCGTCGATAATTCTTTTCCGCTATTATTGTAGAAGAATACGATGCTTTCATTGAAGAAGCACTGCTTCATTTTGATAGGTTCAAAGAATCCTGAAAAAAAAGAAAAACAAACTAGTAAAAAGGCTGCTAAACACTTGACCATTAGAAGATGGTTTAAAAAAAAAATGCAAAATTCAAAAACAAATTAAAAATAAAAAACACTTTGCTACATGACATCTTTGGTATCTATTTAACTTGGCATGACATCATTTAGACAGTGCCTTGACAACTTTATCCCTGACCTGTCTGGTGTGTTCCTTGACCTTCATGATGCTGTTTGTTCACTAATGTTCTGTAACAAACCTCTGAGGGCTTCACAGAACAGCTGTATTTATACTGAGATTAAACTACACACAGGTGGACTCTATGTACTAATTGGTGACTTCTGAAGGCAATTGGTGCCACTAGATTTTAATTATGGGTATGCAGGCCCTAGACAGGTCAAACATAGGCTGATTTTTAAAAAAAAAAAAAAACCCTGAAAAATCGGTCAGCCGATGTTACCAACGATAACAAAAATCGCCCGACAAAATCATAGTTCACCCCATAACTTCTGTCCCTTGCAGGTCATGGCTCATGCGCGGATTTTTTATCGGTAAAACGAACGGCCTATCAGTGCTGGAAAAATCAGCTGATTGTCAAAATCGGCCGCAAATTTTCCAACGTGACCGAAAGAAAGAAAAATGTGCAACAAAAAACCAAATAAAGGACGACCAATCAACCCACTAACAGTGCGAAAATCGTCTGATTTTTTTTTTCAGCCAAAATTCGAACTGTCTATGGCCGGCATACGGCTGGCCATACATTATACAATTTTCTTGAGATTTTTGCTTTAGATTTACCAAAAACCATATAATATGAGGTTAAATGGGAACAACACTTTTAATTGTATCCAATTAGGTGGGCCCTTGCACTGCATAGTTGAAGGTAAATCTAAAGAAAATTGGACAGAAAATTGTATAGTGTATGGTTAGCCTAAGTAGGCTGACTACAAATGCATGCCACATTTTTCACATATTTATATTTGTAAAAAAAAAAATGTTGAAAACTATTTATCATTTTCCCTCCACTTCACAATTAGGTGCCACTTTGTGTTGGTCTAGCACAGTGGTCGGCAAGCCGCGGCTCGCGAGCCACATTCGGCTCTTTACACACTTTAATGTGGCTCTTCTGTGTGCCGGGCGCCCGCTCCCCCCCCTCCTCTCGGGCGGCCGCCCCAAAAGTCAGGACTCTGCAGCTAGCCCAGCAATGGGCAAACTACGGCCCGGCGGACCTTTTAATCCGGCCCGTGGAGCGTGGCAAACATTGGCTGTCAGGATGTAGGTGGGGCAGCGTGACGAACTCCTCTCCTCTCACAGTCCGCCCTGAAGACTGGAACGGCGCGGGAACACGGCGAGAGGAACGCGTGGAGCAAAGGTAAGTGAATTGACACAATATGGGGAATGAATTACTATAGGGGGGATGAATTACTATATGGGGGATGAATTACTATGGGGGATGAATTACTATATGGGGGATGAATTACTATATGGGGGATGAATTACTATGGGGGATGAATTACTATGGGGGATGAATTACTATATGGGGGATGTATTACTATGGGGGATGAATTACTATATGGGGGATGAATTACTATATGGGGGATGAATTACTATGGGGGATGAATTACTATATGGGGGATGAATTACTATGGGGGATGAATTACTATGGGGGATGAATTACTATATGGGGGATGAATTACTATATGGGGGATGAATTACTATGGGGGATGAATTACTATGGGGGGGATGAATTACTATATGGGGGATGAATTACTATGGGGGATGAATTACTATATGGGGGATGAATTACTATATGGGGGATGAATTACTATGGGGGATGAATTACTATATGGGGGATGAATTACTATATGGGGGATGAATTACTATGGGGGATGAATTACTATGGGGATGAATTACTATATGGGGGATGAATTACTATGGGGGATGAATTACTATATGGGGGATGAATTACTATGGGGGATGAATTACTACATGGGGGATGAATTACTATGGGGGATGAATTACTATATGGGGGATGAATTACTATGGGGGATGAATTACTATATGGGGGATGTATTTTCAGTTTTAAAATGTGGCTCTCAAAATAAATTTCAATCGTGGTTTTGGCGAGATTTGGCTCAGTTGAAAAAAAAGGTTGCCCACCACTGGTCTAGCACATAAAATCCCGATAAAATACATTTACGTTTTTGGTTGTAACATGACAAAATGTGGAAAATTTCAAGGGGTATGAATACTTTTTCGAGACACTGTATATTACCAGACTATTTCGTAATATATTTTGAAGGTTAAAGTAGATGTAAACCCCAATTAAATGACATTTAGTTTAAGCAACCGCCATGGTTTTTTACACCGTGTTCATTTCTTCTTTTTTTTTTAGTGCTGATCTCCTTCAGCCTCTTTGAAACCACTTCTAGTCTATATGGACCAGTTCCACAGTCATCAACACACCCATTGCTTTGGACCGGCTTCCTGATAATAATCGTGAACCTTGCCTGATCATTGTGTGTAAGTAGGGCTGCTTGTAGTTTCCACCAGAAGCGCATGTGACAGGGTGACAACACAGGGAGCATAACAACTGTTATCCTATACCAAAAAGTGCCAACAGGGACCTTATTACAGGATTCCCATTTCCTGTACAGCATACATACTGTAATATATATATATATATATATATATATATATCCTGGACAAGAAGCGTTTATACCAGGATCATAGTTCCAACGTGAGCGCACTATTACAATTAAATGTACTGTTCTGTGTATTTGTCCCGCGGCGTCCCAAAAACGTTTGCTCTCTGTGAATATAAAGTTCTAGTTTTGCTGGCCACCAATGTTCTTTTTTATAAAAGTGATCCTAGCAGCTAATTAGCAGCTGGATCATTGTTACAGGCAGCGGGAGGTATCCAGGTGGTTTTGCCAGCTGGCCATAAAGATGACTGAGAAATCAGAAACCATGAGTATTTGTCACTTCTGGTTTCTACTTTGTGTTAACCATCTGCTTACCAGTCAGTAAAGCAGCTGATCAGACCGATCTGTGTCTGACTGGCTGCTTTGGAGGCCAGAGGAAAGATCCAGGGTCTAATAGACCCCAGATGTCTCAATAAAGAGGATCTGTCAAGGCCCATGCTATCGCAAGGAATGTTGTTCATCTCTTGTGGTAGCAATCAAGTTGAAAATAAATGAAAGAGACAGTGTAAAATAAAATCAATAAAAACGCACGTAAAGTGCCCCTAATCCCCCCCCCCCCCCCCCGTGCTCGCACACAAAGGCGAACACATACGTAGGTTCTGCATGCTTATGTTAAGGGTGTTCACACCACACATGTGAGATATTTCCACAAACGTTCTAGCGGGAGCAACAATTCTAGCACCAAACCTCCTCTGTAACTAAACTGGTAGCCTGTAAAGGCTTTTGAAGCATCATCTATGGAGATTTTTATGGTACCGTAGTTTGCCACCGTTCCATGGACATATGCAGTTTAAAAGCATGACATGTTTGGTATCTATTTACTCGGCGTAACATAATTTTTTATTTACTAGACTATTTGGTATTATATATTTTTCTTTTGCATTAAACACATTAAATTGCAATTAAAAAAAAAAAAAATGGGTTTACAAAACCTTTGCGCAAATATTGTGTAACATAAAAATATGCAACATCCACCATTTTATTCTTTAGAACCTTTGCAAAAAAAAAAACCACACACACACATATTATATATATATATATTGGGGGGGTTCTAAGTAGTTTTCTAGTAAAAAAAAAAATGCAGATTTTTACAAGTAGGAGGAGAGAAGTGTCAGAATAGGCATCAGAGGCAGGTGGTTAAGGTTTAATGACCCTAGAGATCTTATCAGATGCAAATGGTTGTCTATAACTTCCATATGGTGTGATGAGAAAGTTGGAAGTGCCAGTTCTTTCATGAATTTCTAAAGGGTGGATTTGGTATCACAGTAGGCTTTTGATAAAGTTTACTGTAAAAGGAGTAAAATTTGTGAAGAATTGGTTGGGGAACTAAATACTTTTTAAAGCAAAAATAAAATCCTGCAACCAAAAAAAAAAAAAAAAAAAAATCCCCAGGAGTTATGCCTCATGCACACTGGACATTTTTAACGCTGCTCTTTTTGGCATCTGGTGGTTTTTGCCTTCTGCCTCTAAACGCCTCTGCATCTCTTAGATTGTGAGCTCCAAGGAGCACAGCCCTCCTAACTGTATCGTCTCCCTTTATATTGTAAAGTGCTGAGTAAAACTGTTGGCGCTATATAAAATACTGTATAATAATAATAATGTCAGCCTATGTCTCCATGCACATATAGGCGTTTAGAGGCAGAAAGAAAACTTCATTGCCTGTGTATCCAGAAACAGCAACGTTTTGGCAGAAAAAAAAAAAAAAAAAAAAAACACGTTTAACACTTGAGCTCTAATTTTTTTCAACGTCCAGAATAAATGATTATTTTGGACAATTAAATGAATTAACGCCCAAGCGCGTGCTTACAAGCATCAAGAGGTTTTTTTCTGCCAAAAAGAAAGGCGCTAGGAGAGATGGCCAAACATCTAGTGTGCCTTGGATTTTTTGAGCAGAAGAAATGTGCAAAGTCTTTATGCCCTAAAACCTTTTCTACACCTCTTGGTAATTTTTGACTTCCATGTATACTGTAGGCAAATGATGCATTGTACACCCCGGCCCTGTCCTTGGCATGATACAAAAAAAAAAAAGAGAGTCAGGTGTCCAGGACAATGTAACTCCTATACATTGTCAGTGGTCATCCAGTGGTTGAAAAGGACCATCGATGGATGAAGAAGCAGTGGCTGTGGCAGTGGGGGATGAAGCAGTGATAATACCTTGGGCCAGGGGCGGACTGACCATTTGGAAACTCGGGCACTGCCCGAGGGCCCGGGGTAAGTAGGGGGCCCCATGAGATGCCCCTGGTACCTTTTTCATAGGCTTTTTTTTTTTAGTTTGGGCAAGG